ATTGAACCATTTATTCATGTGGGAGAGTACTCTGTTTGATATTGCACAGAAATCATCAAACATTTTACTAGAGATTATAACACTTGTATCATCAGCAAATATTATGGGTTCTGATGAAAAATTTATTGTTGGTGGAAGGTCATTTATATATATTATGAAAAGCAAGGGTCCCAGGACAGATCCTTGGGGAACTCCATGCTTTACTGTTCTCCAGTTTGAGAAAAAATTTTGAGTATATTTGGGTGATTTTATCTCAACCTTTTGTTTTCTATTTGTTAGATAGGATTTGAACCATTTTAACACTGTTCCTCGAATGCCATAAAATTGCAGCTTACTTAACAAAATTTCATGATTTACACAGTCAAAAGCCTTTGCCAGATCACAGAAAATTCCTCCTACATGCCTTTTTTGGTCAATTGATTTTAAAACATTGTCTGTTAGCTTGAATGCTGCATCTTCAGTGGATACACCCTTCCTAAAGCCATACTGTTCTGGGACCACGCTGCAGTGACCCTGAAAATCACTTTAAAAATTACCTACTGGTTGTGCTACTTGTCACTAAAGAGTCAGACAAATATTTTTCTAATAGCTGAAAGCAACCTCTGTTCAGGGGTAGAAGGGAGGTACAAATGCAATAAAACAGTAGAACAGAAAGTTGCAATAGCGTGAGAAGAAGTATAATTTGGTGCAAATCATTGTAAAGCATCACTGATACATATCATTACAATCATTATGGGAAGTTATAATCAGTAACCAATGGATTCTAAAAGTCCAATGGTTAATCTTCAAAGTGGATATTCTGCGCACAGATAATTGAAGGTCTATACACATACAATATACAAATATGAATGAACATTTCCTTCATGATTCCGATGTTCAGTTCTAACTATAGCAATCTAAACTGGTACAAGCCCAGAACATATATTTTGTACCTTGTACTGGAACTTGTTAGTTTCATCCTCATCATGAACTGTGACAGTAAGGATTGGTGTTTCTGGTAGGTTTGTTCCATCTGTTTCATCAACCTCTGTGAACCATTCATCTTTTGTGAACTGCGGAGGCATGTCATTTATATCCTTCACCCGTATTGATGCCGTTCCAGTACCTAGAAACAAATTGAGGTTATCAGAGCTTTATGACAGTCAGGTACAGTATTTGAAAAATTCTTCCAGAGTAGTCTTTCACTACAGATGGTCATTTATATGCAGAACCAGCTAAAATACCTGTTCACATCATGGGCTATTGCTGAAATAGATTGAACAAAAATAATGATATCACTTATTCATTATGACATGTCCACCACAAATTCCACTATGTCACATGTAATACGTGTATTATTCACATGTTCCATAATCATAAAAATAATGCTACATCCATTCCAGTTTTAAGAGCATAATTCTTAATAAAGTAAAGCAATTACACAACTGTCTACTTTTGCAACTGGCATTATACAAAAGAGGGGCACGCGGTAGCACAGTTGGTTGAGGCACTATGCTACAAGCCAGAAGATCGCGGGATCGAATCCCGATGAGGTCATTGGATTTTTTAATTTATCTAATCCTTCCAGCCGCACTATGGCCCTGGGGCCCATTCAGCCTCTAACAGAAATGAGTACCAGGAATAATCTTGGAATGTTCTTGGGGGTAAAGGGCGGCTGGAGTGTAAGGCTGACAACCTTACCGCCATCAATGAGCTGCTTGTCTAGAAAATGTGGGAACCTCAACATCTCACAACCCTATGTGCATCCATGGCCTGTTACTTTACAGCCTTTACTTACTTTTATTATAGAAAAGAATTAATGTTTGTAACTACTTGTATATTAGCTTCATCTTCTACAGGCATCTTTAATAAAGTTCATAAAAATGTAAATGATTAAGTCTTACCTTTGAGTCCTCCTCCATCCATAGCTACTACTTGTATGGAATAATCAGGTGTTCTTTCTCGGTCCAAGCAGCATACTGCAGTCTTAATCACTCCAGTTTCTGATTCAATCTCAAAGATTGGAGAGCCTGTTTCTTCTTCTATGACATTCTTTTCTATGGAGTAAATGAGTCTGGCATTGGTACCCTCACTGGGGTCATCATAGTCCACTGCTGTCATGGTCATGACCACCATTCCTGGAACAAAACCATTAACACATGTATGATGTGGGCACAATATGATCTGTGTGACAGGTTATTTTCTGATGATGTCAAATTAACGAAATATTAAAGTTGCTAACAGACATCGATACTGAAGATGGTGACACTCAACAAGAAATAGCCTGTGGTCGGAAGAATGAATCACTGTCATACTCTCTTTTAGTATCTCAATGCAAAATTCTGTGGATCAGGGCATTAATCATTTCTCATTCCACTACCATCCATTACAACTTCCAAGCATTCTGTATGTTTTGTTTAACTTGCAGTTTATTTCAAATTAATTGATACTTGATAATTACAACTAACATTAAAACTCATTATAATAATTATTACATCCACATTTACTAGTACAAACATTGTTAATGTTAGACTTCAGAGATTTATGAATCATTAACATTACATCAAAAAGAGGTTCTTCCATCTGTTAATTAGGAATGAATTTGAATATTACTTGATAACTGATATCAGTATATAAAAAAGTGGATATTAAAAGGCCAGGAAAATTACAGCGGTATTATGTTATTAGACGCTGGTTATAAACTCTATACCACATTTATTAAAAAAATGTAATAAAATACAGTACTGATAAAATTTGAAAGAACAAACTGGATTCCATAAAGGAAGATGTTATGATTAATATTTCCTTCTAAGATTCATTATATGCCATACTACAAGCCAGAAGGTGGTGGGTTCGATTCCAAATGAGGTCATTAGATTTTTCAATTGTCCTAATCCTCCCAGCCAATGGCACTGGGCTCAACTCAGCCTTTAACAGAAATGAGTACCAGGAATCTTCCTGGGGGTGAAGGGTAGCGGGTGCGTAAGGCTGATGTATCACTGCCATCTGTGAACTGACTGTCTAGAAAACGTGACAGCCTCTACATCTCACAACCCTATTGGTCTTCATGGTCTGTTACAGGGATAGCTTTACCTTTTTGATTAATTACATAAAAAGAAACCAGAAATACCAAAAAGAAAAAGAAATCTGTGAAGATCTCTGAAATGGTTGAAGGATTCTATCTTATAATATCCACAACAGGTCTCAATAGGCCTAATACTGCAGGAGTAGGAGGAGGAGATGATGACGACAATGAAGAAATGCATACACATGTTTACTACATGCTCATTTTCCTTTACTCTTATTCATAAACTTATATGAATGTATTGTCTCAGGTCACTGTATCTCATATTACTGCCTTCAAACGAATATGAAATTAATCATTGTTTTATGAATTTTCGAACAATTACATATGCATAATGGCCAGTCATGGTAGCCGAGCGGTCTACAGTGTGCACTGTCTTCGCTCGCTCGGAAGCCGGTATTGTGGGCTCGAATCCCAATCACGGCATAGTTGTTCAGTGTTTGTGTGTGTGTGTGTGAGTGCACGCGCATGTGTGTACATTCGTTGTTCTATATTTGTCTACAGGTAGAGGCCTTATGATCACTGATCACCTGCCCAAGGAGTCCAACCAAATGTCTAAAATCTAGTAAAACAAAGTGAAATGGAGTGTTTCATGGAGGTAGACAAAGGCCCAAACTGGGGCTGTACCGCCAGAGGGGGAAAAAAAACACCATATGCATAATACCTGCAGTGCCATTTTCTGTAACGTTTCCAAAATAAATTCCTTGAGGGAAAATTGGTGCATTGTCATTGATGTCTTTGAGGTTGACTTGAACATCTGCATAGCCAACAAGCCCTTCTCCTCCCTCGTCCTGAGCAAATACTGTGAACCTCCACTGCGGTCGGCCAAGGGGTTGATCTCGGTCCAGAGGCTGTATACACAAACAAACAACTATGAATTATCATGAAACTGCCATAATACAAGCCATACAAGGCTATCTGCTAAAAACACTTTCTGAGCAGAATTAAACAAATTCTGGCCAGAAATAAAGAGATGTGATACTTCCGTATCACAGTAGCCACAAAGAGAGTTTAAAGGTCATTCAATTTAGATATTCATAATTTTATACTTTTCATTAAATATTATGATGATCAAGTTGTGGAGGATGAAACGGACAGGGAATGTAGCAAACAAGGTGATATGATAAATATATATACAATTTTAGCAAAGAAATCTGAAAGAAAAAAAACCTCCCTGTAGGTGGATGGTGAGATGGCATTTGTCGCCTGTGTATTGGAGTGTACACTTCGTGCAAATGTTTCAGTAATTAGACACATTGCCACGCCCATCTTTGATCTGGGATGTTCCTCCACCCATGAGAGCAAATAACTTCTTACTTTTATGAAGCTACTAGACTTCAGTGTTCCCACTAATAAAGCATTTTTCATAACACACTTCCATCATACCGAAAAATATATTACTATGTTATTATCGCAAAATAACAATAAAAGTGACTTCATCTCACGATTAATTCCCATTTCTTTCACCCAGAAATTGTATGCCAGATGACCCCCGGCACTTTTATTTCTAAGACTACAGTCGTTTGTTCCTTAGATTCATGTGGTGACCATTATAAATTACAGACTTCTCAAAATTGGGCCCCCCTCTCCCGGAAAGACTGCTGATCGTGAAGAGGAAATAATGATGCAATTATACAGATATTAAGAAAGCAGTCTTCTGGGATTTGGCACCGTGTATATGTGGTGTTAACCGACGTTTAGGAGAAACGTATCGCCTCCATCTTCAGGGTACAGTCTGTGCACAGTCTGCCTTTACCGGTTCTCATGGTCTCTTCGCTTGCAGATTTCTTATATATTTTTTCTTCTACTCTGAAGATGGAGGCGATACGTTCCTCCGAAACGTCGGTTAACACCACATATACACGGTGCCAAATCCCAGAAGACTGCTTTCTTCATAGTCACCGCCGTGAAAGCCTCAAATCTTATATACAGATATTAATTTGCATTTATGATACAGAAACAAGGAATTACAAACACCAATTTTTCCGTGAAGTTTCGCGCGTGTCCCGAGGCCTCTGTGCCTCAGCAGTTCCTACATAGAACCAAAACACCACAATATGTTTGGAAGAAAGTAAATTCCACGTGTAGAAAAATAAAATAAAATTTTGTGGTGGCTGGTTGCAATGTAGCAGTGTAGTACTAGTCGTGACGGCGTCCCTTACCCAATGGAAAAGCACTTCGATTTATCGATACACCACTGGAATAGAATAACAATGTATTTTCATTGCTACGTTACCGACGACGACTATGACATTTGGGGCGATAAATTCATTCCGCATTCCTTAGAGGCACGATTTCAGTCTTCACACCACACTCACCCCACTGGGTACAATCCGTTCTTTTTGCAACACCTGTCTATCGGATAACACAATTATATTAAGAATCAATCGAACCTAATCAACTTCAGCAAATTACTGAACACCTACTGCTAAAATACCGCGGGGATTACTCATGAGATACTGTAACAACTGCCTACAAAACAGAACTCTAAAATGTACACGTACTAAATTTTGTTCACCATGCGAGTTAATGCATTCTTAGCGGTCTCCGTAGTCTAGAGGTAACGTTCCCACCTCATGACTCGTGGTACGCCGGTTCAAATACCCGGCGGAGGTCGTCGAATTTTTAAGGGCGGAAAAATTCATGGAACAAGTCCTCCGGGAGGGACTTTAAGCTGTGTGTCCCGTGTCGTAACTTTACGGCACGTAAAAGAACCTCATATCCCCAAAGGGGGTCACTGAGCCAAATTTCAGGACCTTTCCCGCCCAACAATAGTCTCTAAGGCCTCTGATAGATGAGGGAAGCATTGCAGATACCGCTAAGCAAGTGGCCGAACTCGCTTGCTCGGCGGGACTGATGGTACGCACCATTTATCGGTAGGGTATAGAGACTGGTAGAATATCATAGAGGGAAGCACAATAGATCAAACTGGCCGCGCTGCATGGGGAAACCCACCCTCTCTAAGATAACTAAAAACTAACTAATGTATTCTTAGATTTCCATTTTGAACGCGCTTTCAAAGACATATATGTAATAACAGAGATAATAACGGCAAAAATGATAAAATCTGCAAAGTATGCTACAAGCCTGATACTGTAGAGAGATGCTACTGGCATTGTACGAAAACTTTACACCATGTATTATGATGAGACATCATTAACGCAAAACCCGCTGAAAATTCGGCGGAAAATTTTGGCAGTTCCCACCTGGAGCTGTGACCTCCTAAAATAATACCTAAGTTAATGCAATTATCGTTGTTAATCCTGAACGGGCACTGTGTGAAATCACAATCAGAACCTGTAAAGTTCTGAGAAGACAGTTGGCTAAAATAAGCCCTGCTGTTGTCTAGTGTAAAGTAACCTCGGCAAAAGTCAACGATATACAGTTTCCCGTAAGTCAAAGAACATAAGACACTTCAGCAATTAGACAAAACATAGAAACATGTATAGAGGGAAACGCTGTGGAGAAGCAGGTATTTCCACTGTCAAATGTTGGATTTTTATTTTTCCCACGGTGCTACATTCTTTATACTATACCAATAGCAAAAAGTTATGGCGATGTTGCTAAGGTGACATGTTTCTGGGTGGGGGAAGGCCGCCATCAAAGAGAGAAAGGCAAATTATGAAACAGGAATAGCAAACAAAATCACTGTTTTAATGTACTCGTACAGAAAGGACGTTGCAGCACTGATGCAAACCAGGGCAATATCTCCGCTGCGAGCGTGGCTCTAGCACCTGGCGCCGTATTCACACGTTTGAGCAACAAGCCGGATACTAGTCTGAACACTTCCTTCAGTAAATATACAAAAGTCTGCGGTGTTCGATACGCGTGTTTGATTTTGTGGATTTTTAATGTTTTGCCACAGTTCACCACACTCCAACGGTGTTTCTGTAGAAGCAAATTAAAACACTGTGATTTCGTCCATTTTGCCTGTTTCACATTGTACCTGTCTGTTTTTCGCTACTGCTTCCCCTTGTCCTGAAGCATATCCCCATTTTGCCGTCATGTTGCCTTGGCAGCGACGCCATAACTTTGTACATACGCAATATTTGAGAAGTCCTTTTTACGCCACACTAAACAAAAACGAACTTAAAAGTCATCAAAATACTTTTCACACACTGAGGCGCTAAATGTTGGTCTCCCTTCTCCCCTCACCCCAGCCAACGTCTAACACAAAGAAAATCTGGCACGGATCGCAGATGGATACCATAAGGGAGCGTCCAGGTTCATCTTATCACCATTGCTGACTTATTAGATTTGGCGGAACACGACGCAGTGATAGCGCATAGAGGTAAAGTCGTGCTTCAGCACTGACTGTTGTGAGTTTCTCAAAGAACCAAATCGCCTGACTCTCTTACCGTCGTCTTGTTGGCCGGAACTTTGGCTTCACCCCCGAGAAAACAAGATTGGCGGCTAATATGCTGCGCATTGTAAACACAGGCATACATTTCTCTAAGCAAAATAAACTGTTAAGAAGAACTCACCATCATTGTAGGTCCTCAAAATGCCTCCCGTCTGTTCTTAAACATAACTCAAGCCCCTTGAAAAGACTGTTTACCACTAGTTTCAGTTCACTGATCTCGACAGATGCAGTTGTTTCACACAGTTTATCCACTGTGTGAGGATTATTTGAATACACTTTGCTTTTAGCTTTCCTCACTAACAAACATCACAGAGATTTACGTCTGGAGACACAGCGGGCCACAGTCTGCGACTTACTAAAACATTAATGGAGTACTTCAACTGTCTATCTGGATTAATGCTGATCCAATGCTTATTGTTCTGAACGCTCACACATCCACTCAGATGGGACCCAGCTTCGTCAGTAAAAATGTAAGCTTGGGGCCAAGGAGATCGTCATGTACTGCTGACAAAACGAGTTAAAAAAAAAGCGTTCTATTCTAGTAAACGTCATCCTCAATTATTCGAACCTGTGTAATTCTATGAGACTGTGAACACAGCATTTTAGTCGCTCTCCACGCTGTTGTGGTCGAAACCTGTGCCTGTTCGAGATAATCGTGGCTAGAGTTTGCGATGCGAATGCCCCAATATGGCTCCAATCTCATCAGGCTTTTACTCTATCAGCACAACATTCTGTTAAGTGTATTTTCTGCCTAAAACGACCCTGCTAAGAGCGTCCTTTTCACCATTCAGAAAATCTCTGATGAAGCTGGGCTTCGAAAACCACGATACTTTGCGGCGAAACCTTCTTTTACACGATTTATATGGTATTTTTTCCACTATGTATGTATCGTACAGAAAAACCGGATGCTCAAGTGTACATTTCACAGTTTCACTTCAGCATTGTGAATGAAGGCACGAAACGAATACCTAAACGCCTTACAGGAGCAGAAACACAAGAAAGACTAATAGGTTTTGCGAGTCATTTGTAGCTGTAGTTGTGCCAACAATGATAACAGTAACAGACACTGCGGTCTCTTTCTCCTCCGTGCACTGCATGAAGGGCGCTCAGCTACCCACAGTTCCCTATTTGTCTGCATCCGACAGCATAGTCTGCTAAAAGTCAAGAGTTGCCCCATTCGGGCGTTCGTGAAAGGCACTGTGTATATCACCTTCGGTTTGATGGTAAGAGCTAAATAACTATCGGACGTAGGTATGTGAAATTAATATGAACACGGCCCGTAAACACAAATAAATAAACAAACAAAAATAAACTCCGTGGCCTGTAGTCCGTAAGCGAACTATACCGACCGAGTGACCGCCGCTGGTCGGCGTAGTTAGAGCCAACTTTAGCGGATACATGGTGTCGTGTGGTCAGCTCAACGGACACCCATGGCCATTAATCTCGGTTTTCTAGACCGGAGCCACTATTTCCTTGAAATAGCTCCTC